TGCAGATAATAAAAGTTTGTTTGTTGTTTGACTTTGTATAGTATTTAAGTTGAGATAATGACGTTAGGTAATACGTCTAGCAGTTAGGCAATACAAGAGGCGACTGTCGGCGCGACGCATATAGCGCGATGAGCTTGCTAGCCCAAGTCTCGCGCATTAATACACACATTACCCGCACCAAGTAGTCAGCGACAATACCGCGGACTACGCAACAAAAACGCACCTGACTAACAAACGCACTGTAGTGACAATACCACCACACACACACTCACACTTATTACATAGCCCAAAAGGGCGGGTTTTTTAATAATATATGTCAATCCTAAACAGACTGCATTAAGAAAAATTTTTAGGTTTACCTAGATTTGTTGCTTATATGTTAGTAGATTCTTCTATCAGTACTAGATAAAATTCCTGTCATTTATAATCGATAAAAATACAAGCCAGATGATGGATCAAAAATGTAAATTTTTCAGCTATCCAAAATTTGTTTGTAGAATTACTGCTTTATAGAAAAATTTGTTAATCTTCAAAAATCCGATGTCATAATCTTCTATATATTTCCTTTTTTTTTATAAACAAAATTTTCCATTACCCAATATCAATTAAAATACACTAGTTATGTTGAGAAATGTATATATTTTTTGCAGATAATAAAAGTTTGTTTGTTGTTTGACTATATTAAGAAAAATTTTTAGGTTTACAAAAATAAGATGCTAATATGTTATTATATTCTTGTATCTTGGAAAATAATTCTTCTCATTTAAAATCGATAAAATTACAAGATAATTTAAAAATCAAAATTGTACTTTTTTCTGCAATCGAAAATTGGTTTTTAGATCTACTGCTTTATAGAAAAATTTGTTAGTCTACAAAAATCCGATGTCATTTTCTTCAAAATATTTTTTTCTTTTAATACACAAAAATTTTTAATGACAAAAAATCGATTAATATACACTAGTAATGTTGAAAAATGTATCTATTTTTAACAGATAATAAAAGATTGATTGTTGCGTGACTGCATTAAAAAAAATTTGTAGGTATGCATAAATTTGATACCAATATTTTCAAATAAAAATATAAGTATAATATAGTAAAATAGCAAAATTATTCCTATATATTAACATCAAATTTTGGCAAATCTAGTAATGTTTGTATGATGCATGCAAGCTACAAATAAGTTATCCGTATCTGCGTAATGTAAAAACTCTTTCAAACATTAGTAGTTTATTTTATCGACTTTGAATCTTTGGAATGTTTTTGATAGTTTAATAACTTAATTCTACTAATATTTTGGCATCAAATTTTGGTAAATCTAAAAAATTTTCTGTGCAGCATTTACGCTAAAAAAAATATTTTGATATTTTCAAAAAGTACACCCTTTTTTAAATATGAGATTAAATTATTCAAATTGGAATGCCTAGAATTTTATGTAGTGAAAAAACGAGATTTTCCAAGATTTTATCATTAAATTTTGGTAAATCTAAAAATATTTCTAAGACGAATGCAAGCTACAAGCGAGTTTCAGGTTTTTTCGCAATGTACACACTTTTTTCCATATTCCGAGTGCATCTTTATTGATTTCTAATCGTATAAAATTTTTTTTAAAGTAAAAAAACAAATTTATCTAAGATTTTGGAATTAAATTCTTGTAAATCTAAAAATTTTTCTATGATGCATGCGAGCTACAAAAAAGTTATCGGTATCACTGTAATGTAAACAATGTTTCAAATATTTAGAGTTTAATTTTATCGATTTAGAATCTAAGGAATATTTCTTACAGTAAAATAAGAAAATTATACTAAGATTTAAGCATTAAATTTTGGTAAATCTAAAAATTTTTCTGTGATGCAGTAAGGCTAAAAAAAATTTTTTGATATTTTCTAAAAGTACACATTTTTTTAAATATTTGTTAAAATTATTCAAATTGGAATGTCTAGAATTATTTGTAGTGAAAAAACGAATTTTTCAAAGATTTCGGCATTAAATTTTTTTAAATTTAAAAATTTTTTTATGATGCATGCAAGCTACAAACAAGTTCTTGGTATCAGCGTAATGTACACACATATTTCAACATCTTAAATGTATCGTTATCGATTTGTAACCGTATGAAATTTTCTTTATAGTAAAAAAACGAATTTTTCTAAAATTTTGGTATTAAATTTTAGTAAATTCTTTAAAATTTCTGTGATGCAGTCAAACTAAAAAAATTTTGATATTTTAAAAATATACACCTTTTAAAATAGTATGATTGTAGGTATTCCCTTGTTATATCATGAAAGTTTATCTTTAGTGAAAAAACGGGTTTTTTCTAGGATTTTTGAATCAAATTTTGCTAAATCTAAAAGAATTTCTAAGATGAATGCAAGCTACCAGCAATTTTTATGTATCTGCGCAATGTACGCGCTTTTTTCAATATTTTGAGTATATTTTTATTGATTACTAATAGTATGAATTTTTTTTAATGTAAAAAAACTATTTTATTTAAGATTTTGGCATAAATTTAGGAAATTCTAAAAACTTTTCTATGATGCAGTCCAGCTAAAAAAAAGTTTTGACATTTCCGAAAAATACACGCATTCTTTATATTACTAGTCTAATTTTATAGAATTTGAATGACAAGAATCTTTTTCATAGTAAGAAAACTAAATTTTTTCTAAAATATTAGAATCATATTTCAGTAATTCTAAAAAATTTTCTGTCATGCAGCCAAGCTAAAAAAAAACTTTTTATAATTGCAAAAAGTACACACTTCTTTCAACATATAACTGTAATTTTTTCTATTTTGAGTAATAGGAGTTTATTTTATTTTTTTTTTTTAATAAAGCGAAATTTTTCACAAATTTTTGCTTTGAATTGTAGTGAATCTAAAAATGTTCCTATGATACATGCAAACTACAAATAAGTTTTAGGTATATGCGCAATGTTCACACTTTTTTTAACATTTTAAGTGTATCTTTATCGATTTCTAATCGTTTGAGTTTGTGTTTGTAGTAGAAACACGAATTTTTCCTAGATTTTGGCATTAAACTTTTGTAAAATTAAAAATATATCTATGATGCATGCAAGCTATAAAAAAACTTTTAATATTTTTAAAAAGTACACACTTGTATCAAAATATTAGTTTAAATTATTCAAATTTTATTGTCCAGAATTTTTGTAGTGAAAAAGCGATATTTTTTCAATATTTTTGAATCAAATTTTTGTAAATCTAAAAACTTTTTTATGATGCAATTAAGGTTATTGTGGTATAGGGGGTATCAAAAATACTCTTTCTTATAACACAATTTTCTCTTTATTTTATATGATAAGGTAATAGCACGTCTTTACTCAATCAGCAGTAAAAAAGGAATAAACGAATATCGAATAAACCAAAAGAAAAATATTTCGTCGCCAAGCACTTAGGATTCAGCTTCTCCTTGGTAGGGATAAAGAAAACAAAGATTAAGAAGGACCGCTCATCGATAGAACAAAACACTCTGAGTCCAACACTGTATATCGATTATTATTTATATACATAAAAGTATCGATTGTATTTTGTAGATATGGTATAATAAACGCAGAATAAAAAATAGTGCATAGAATTCAACAGTATTAATACAGTGTAATAACTTATATATCAATATTTATAATATAAAACTATTAAAAAAATTCTGAAAAACTGTCTTTTTTTCGTGTGTATAATTAGAGTAGACCCCTTAACACACGTCAAAAATCTAATTCTATATATATATATATAATTCTATATCTATATATAATAAATCTAAATCAAGAAGGAAATCTAAGTACACAGGAATTAAGAAAGCGTTACGAACGACTTACTTAGCTAGTACAGAAATACGGAACATAGTATGAAAAGTGTGTCACTAACAACATCGAAGTAGAAGGAGTCGACAGTTCAAACCCAATTATAGAGAGATATTTCGCAATCGGAGACAACATTGATTCGGGCGATACGGCCGCGGTTAATAATACGAGTGGCTCTTATAGAGACGACGGTACTACAAATACCCGCGATCAGCAAATACGATTACGCCGCATGGAGATCCCGAAATTTGACGGAGACATCGGAAAGTGGATCTAATTCAAGGGGAATTTCTTAACGCTGATAGACTCGCGCACCGACATGTCGGATTTAGAAAAACATATATACCTCCTCGAGCCTCTTACCAATAGGGCGCTTCAGACGGTAGCGACATACGCACCGACCGGGCAGAATTATAAGAACGCGTGGGAAATTTTATTGAAAACTTTCGACCGGCGACGCATACTCCTGGCACGGGCCATTGACACTTTCATAGAAACTCCACGGCCGAAAATCATGTCAATAGAAGAGATGACACGGCTTGCGGGTCCATGCAGATACCATTACTTCTTTCAATATACCACACGCACTGATGGTCCGCCTCGGCGAACGCATTCTACCCCGCGACCTGACGAAGAATGGGAAAAACAGTTAGATGCGGATAATTATCCGACCATGAATCAGTTTTGCGACTTTGTAAACGAGTACACACATCGTAGCGCTGCGTCGCCGAATATTCCATCGACATCGAGAAACGAACCTCACGCAAAACGTAGACATACTGAGACGATGACTTTATGGCCACGAAAGCGACAAGAGACACATATAACGCGTACGTTTCTTACTCGCACTTTAACTAATTGTATTCGACGATAAACGAGATAAACATCTTTTATACCAATGTTCCCGATACCATGATCTGACGAAACGTGACAGACTGGCGATGGTCAAACGTTATGGATTATGTAAAAATTGCTTACGGAAGCACTGAGATCCATGTAAGAGTTCACATTGTCAAATCTGCAGCCGGCCCCATCACACATCATTACACATGAACAATTATCAACAGCAGACCATAACCCCAGTGAAAGAGGAGATCGCGTCAACATCCCAAACCAGACCTATCCCCGTATGACTAACACCAATCTTTAATAGCAACGCGCGCGGTGCATCGAGTCAACTCCTTATGAGCGCTATGTGTCGTGTCAGAAAGGGAGATGGGACTTTCAGAGAATGTCGAGCGTTATTAGATGCGTGCGCCGCTGCACACCTCATCACCGAAAATGTCTCGAGAGAATTACGCTTGCCGATTAAACCATATTCAATTCTCATTCACGCTATTAACGATACCGTAACTCGAACGACAGGCGTTATTGAGATAACCATTCAATCGCTATACAATAAATATAGCCGAAACCTTTTGCTCTTCATCGTCCCTAAGATAGCTGATCAGGTACCCGGAGAAGTCTTCCCGCGAGAACTCGTTAAAATTCCGCTCAGTCGAAAACTGGCGGATCACCAGTTCCATCTACCACGACCGGTCGACATCTTGATAGGTTCCGGAGCAACGCTCGCACTCATGTCAATAGGGCAATTTTCTTTGTCCCAAAGATGCGGTGATTTGATACTACAGAAAACGCTATTAGGTTAAGTGGTCATTTTGTTGGAATGTTGTTGGAATTGAATCTGACGGTCATACGGGAAACCATAGATTCTTGGCGACGACCAAATTAAGGGAACAGTTAGAAAGATTTAGGTTATTAGAAGACGCAAATATAACAAGATCGAAGTCAGTAAATGAAATAGATTGCGAAAATCATTATGTTAAAGATACGAAGCGTGACGAATCGGGACGATACATTGTGCGGCTACCTTTCCGCGAAGAGAGACACGATTACAGTCACTTGCGCGGTATAGCTTTACGCCGATTCCACAATCTCTGGAAGAAGTTACACGCGAATACCAAACTCTGGAAGGAATACGAAAGGATTATACAGGAATACGTCGATTTAGGACATATGTCGACCGTCGAAGACGAACCTACGGGAGGTTTTTATCTTCTTCACCACGCGGTCATTAAATCAGCTAACATGACGACAAAGGTACGAGTCGTATTCGACTCCTCCGTGAAAAATGATAACAGACTTTCTCTCAACAACACCATATTAGTCAGACCTACAATCCAAGACACTTTAGTAGAACACTTGTTACGATTCCAAACGTATCGGTACGTACTGACGGCGGATATCGAGAAAATGTATCGACAAATATGGATTCATCCGGACGATCGCCAGTACCAACGGATATTTTGGTAGCATAACGAACAGATTCGCACGTTCGAACTCAATACGGTGACATTCGGAATAGTCTCAGCACCTTTTCTTGCTATACGAACCATAAAACAACTCGCGAAAGATGAAGGCGCTAACAATCCGCTCGGAGCCGAAATAATAAATCGCGACTATACGTTGATGCTCATCACGGGAGCCGATGACATCGAAACTCTCGGAAAAATACGCGATCAAACCATCGAAATATTGAAACGAGGCGGTTTTAATATGCGACAGTAGGCGTCTAACTTCCGACCGGTGCTCGAAAATTTAGACATAAAGAACGTCGACGTCGAACTCTGCTCTGGGGAAAATCCTGTTTTAATGACACTCGGTATTTCATGGAACGCCCATCATGATTATATAATCTATTTCGTCGCGCCCGTAGATATTCGCGAAAGAATTACCAAACGACGGATTTTATCCCAAGTTGCAAAGATTTTCGATCCACTCGGACTGTTAGGACCCGTTTTTTTGACAGCCAAAATCTTCATACAAGATTGCTGGAAAGCACACGTCGACTGGGACGAATCAGTACCCAGCGTATTACATTTCTCATGGACAACGTTCGCGGAACAGTTGACACTAATTGATAATGTAACGATCGAGAGACGCATTACACTTGCTAACCCGATCGACATACAATTACACGGTTTCTGCGATGCAAGTCAATCTGGTTACGGCGGTTGCTTATATATAAGATCGCGAGATGAATTCAATAACACAAGCGTGCGTCTACTTTGCGCTAAAAGTCGCATGGCTCCTCTCAAGGACACCACCATACAACGTTTAGAACTATGTGGAGCATTACCACATTCGTGATTATACCGAGAAGTCCGGACAGCCGGCGGACTGCAACCCTACAAGATAACTTTCTGGTCCGATTCCATGATTGTACTGGGTTTGCTGAAAGGAGACCCTGGTACACTAAAAATATACACGGAGAATCGCGCGCTTGAATTATAAAATAGGCGACCTACCGAACTCGCGAGTATAAGAAGCCATCGCATTCTCTCACGTCGAAGTGGATTTCTTCGGTACGATCTACGCGAAAGAGAAGAAATATCGTAATAAGGGCCGCGTCAAAATATACGGATGCATTTTTGTCAGCATGATCATAAAGGCCGTGCACATCGTATTAGTCAGCGATCATCTAACCACGGACACGTTCCTAGCCGCCTTTCGACGGTTTGTGAGTCGAAGAGCAGTACCAACCCATATTTATTCCGATAACGGAACCAATTTCGTCGGGGCCAATAACCAGTTAAAGGAGTTATACGCCTTACTTGAGTCGGACGAATTCAAAGCGAAGGTCCATAATTTCGCGGTAGATCATAGAATCTCATGGCATTTCAATCCTCCCTTATCACCTCATTTCGGAGGTTTGTGGGAGGCTGCGGTTAAATCTTTCAAACACTACTTTAAACGGTTTGTAGGCGAACTTCTCTTCACGTACGAAGAGTTGACTGCATTCGCAGTCAAAATCGAAGCTATTTTAAATTCACGCCCGCTATGTCCGATCTCGTCAGGCCCGAATGATATAACAGTACTAATACCTGCACATTTTCTAGTTGGAAGATCTATTACTACATTGCCGGAGGAAGATTACATTAAGACTCCAGCTAATCGATTGTCTTCATGGAAGCATATCACGAAGGTTCGACAAGATTTCTGGCAACGATGGCATATTGAATATCTACAAGAATTGCAGAAACGTCAGAAATGGATACAACTCCAGCAAAAAATCGAAAAGGAGACCATCGTTATTCTCATCGACAAGAATCAACCTTGCATAATATGGCCGTTAGGCTGGATCGTAAACATACATCCAGGAGAAGATGATATAGTACAAGTAGTCACCGTGAAGACGGTTCACGGAGTTGTCAAGCGAAATGCGACAACTATTTGTCCATTGTTAAACCATCATTATTTTCTTGCGTTGTATCTTTTATAATTAATTTTCCTATTCTCGGTCTCCTCTTTATGCTATGCTTCGTAGTTATCGCTCCTGGTTTTATATGTGTGTGTTTGTGCGCTACTGCATATTACAAAGCGTGGACACGTATTCTTTCGATACTCGAAATGTTTGTAGGTACGAGCGATAGAAAGGTAAAAGAATAAACAGAAATAAGCGAGGAGAGGCGCGTCGATCGCTTGGAGGGAAAACAGCGTGCGTGGGTGTAGTGTGAGAAAATATAGTTTGAATAAGTGTAAAGGTGATTATTAGAGGAAAAAAATAGAGGAAAGTGAGGTGGAAAAAGGGCTTAGTGGAAAGAGATAATAGGAGTGGAAATTGGTTAGAAGTAGAGGTGAAAAAGGAGTGAAGTATAAAAGGTAGTGAAGGTTAGAGTGAGTATAGAAAAGAAGAGCGTATGGAGATAGAAGCGCCAAAAAACGACAACGGGAGGGAGAGTGGTTTGAGGGAAAGTGAGATAGGACGGTCGGTAAAGAAGGGTTCTGAAGGGAGCGCAAGAGAGGTAGGTGTGGAAAAGGAGGAAAAGAAGAAGGACAGAGGGAGACCGAACAGGGTGCTGACCTGGTCTAGGCACAGATCAGAGAGTACAGGAGACATAAGAGAGATGATATCGAAAAAGAGAGAGTTGAATTCGCCGGAGGAGAGGGAGAAGGTGACAAAAAAAAGTACAGGGCAAATGGAAGGTGGGAGGTCAGTAATGGGGGGGTCAAAGGAAAAATATGCGAATAAGACGGATAGAGAGTTGATGTTGATTATGATGGATAAAATGACGGAGGTGGAGAGAGAGATAAAGCAAGAGGTGGCAAAATTGAGGATGGAGATAAGGGAAGAAGTGGCGAGGGAGATTGAAAGGAAGGGAAAGGAGTGGGAGAGAAGAAGTCAAGAGTTAGAAGTAAGACTAGAAGAAAAATTACAGGATTGGAGCAATAAATTACAGGAATGGGAGAAAAATACAAAAGAAGGAAACAAGGGGGTTGTGGGAGGCAGTAGTGAGTTAAGAATGGAAGCAGGAAAACAAACGGAGGTAGAGAGATGGGTAAAAGAGGTAGAAAGAAGATGTGAAAAGTGGGAGGCGGAGGAAAGAAAAAAATGTGTAATAATAAGGGGGTTAAAAAGAGATAGAAAAGGTTTGGAGAAAGAGATGGAGGCCTTTTTTAAGCGAAAATTGGACACAGAGGTGAAGGTAGAAGAAGCGAATCTGATGGGGTATGAAAAGAAAATTATAAGAGTGAAACTGAGCAAGAGAGAAGAAAAGGAGAGTATTATGCAAAATAAGAAGAAGTTAGGAGATGAACCGGTATATATTGAGCATGACAGATCAAGGAAGGAGAGAATGGTTCAAAGAGATATAGTGAACTAAGCGAGGGAATTAAGAAAGCAAAGAAGGAAGGTGATAATACGTTATAGAAAATTGGARATAGACRGAGTGTGGTATAGATGGAGTGATAGAGAAAAGAAGCTAGTGAAGGAGAAACAGAGTTTTTATATGACAGAGGAGAACACGAACTAGGTGGAAGGGAGAGAAAGAAGAGAAACAAGAAGAGGCAAGAAGGAGAAGGGAAAAAACAGAAGGGAAAAAGTATAGAGACAAAGGAAGGGAGAAGGGTGAGAATAATGGCATGGAATGTAGCAGAGATAAGGAACAAGGAGAAGGACTTTTGGGAATATTTGGAGAAATTTAATATATTGGGACTGCAGGAGACGTGGTTAGACAAGAAGGAGTGGGAGAAGACGGAGGATTCATTTCCAAGGAATTACAACTGGATAGTGCAAGAGGCGAGGAAGGATAAAATGAAGGGTAGATACAGGGGTGGAATGATTGCTGGAGTAAGAAAGGATTTAGAGATTGTGAAGGCAGA